CTGTGTCTACTTTGTGGGTAGCGAGGCGAGTTCTCCCAGGCTTCCCAGTGAACCTACCCCCATATACTGCCAGCACTCTCTCCAGCCCAGGGACCTGGGTGGGGATAAGAAGGGGGTTGATCAGGAGGGCTGACTCCCCTTCCCTAGTGTCGGCGAGTAGGTCTAGGAGGGGGTCAGCCTCCTCGGTCTCTTGTTGAATGCAGACTGGCATGACGTAGGCCGTTCTACGTTCGTGGAGGGCCTTGATCATATTAACATGGAAGGTCTTCAGCCGTCTGCTCCCTTCGCCCAACCTAACCAGATAGGTCACATTGTTCAGGCGCTGGGTGATGGAGTACGGGCCTTCCCAGGCAGCCTGCAGTTTGTTCTGCCGCAAGGGTAGCAGAACATACACCTGCTGCCCAATGTTGTATGTCCGCTCCCTGGCATTACGGTCATACCAACGTTTCTGCCTGCTCTGGGCCTGGGCCATGTTTTCTCGTACCATCCCCACCAGCACCTCCATTTTATCCCAGAACCTGAGCACGTAATCCACCACGGAGACCTCAGGGTCCGCAATCTTGCCCTCCCAGGTCTCCCGGATTAGGTCCAGAGGCCCTCTCACCCTCTACCCGTACGAAGTTCAAAGGGTGAAAACCCGGTGGACTCCTGAGGCACCTCTCTGTAAGCGAATAGCAGATGAGGCAGGTATCGTTCCCAGTCCTTGCCCTGGGACTCCACAAAGGTGCGCAACATTTGTTTTAATGTGCCATTGAAACGTTCGCACAAGCCATTCGTTTATGGGTGGTAAGGACTGGCCATGATGTGCGTCATCTGTATCTTCTGACAGAGAGCTTGCATTAGGTCGGACACAAACTTGGGCCCTTGATCACTAATAAGCTCGGCCGGAAACCCCACTCTGGTGAAGATTCCCAGCAGAGCATCCGCAACCTTCTCCGACCGGAGGGAGAAGAGAGCCACAGCTTCCGGATACCGGGTGGCATAGTCGACCACGGTCAAGATATAACGTTTGCCTGAGCTGCTAGGGATGGCTAGAGGCCCCACGATGTCTACCGCCATCCTCTTTAAAGGCTCGTCAATCACGGGCAAAGGTTGTAATGGGGCCCTGTGCACCTCTCCTGCCTTCCCAACTCGCTGACAGGTAACACAGGACCGACAGTAATCCGCTATGCCCGCTAACATAGTGGGCCAAAAGAATTTATGGATCAATCGGGCTTGCGTCTTAGTGATCCCTAGGTGTCCGGCCAGAGGAATCTCATGAGCCACCTTAAGCAGCTGCCCCCGACAGGGATGAGGCACGACAAGCTGTCTACCAATGTCAGCCCCCCTTCCCTCAGTGGGCAGCCCCTCCCTATACAGTCTGCCTTGCTCCCAGTAGACCTTTTGTTTAGCATTCTCCGCAGGGGGGCAATTAGCCAGATTCCTGAGCTGCTCCAGGGTCTGGTCTGTCAGTAGGGCAGCCTCAAATGTGGAACTACAGGTCCCAGCCAGCGGTCCTGTAGCAAACAATGACAGCTTCTGAGACTCACTGGAGGCAGAGTCCACGGGGTCAGAACAAGGGGAGGGGTCAGAACAAGGGGAGGGGTCAGGGACGTCCTCCTGCTGTTCTGAGACCCAAGTCTGTGCCTCAGCTACCCTTACCGCACTGCTGCGGGTGACCACTAAGGTTAAGGATGCCTCATTAGTATCATCATAACCATCAACATTGCTGACCTTGTCCTTACAAGTATCAACAGTTACTTGTCTACTGTCCATGTCACCTGAGTTCGTTACCTCCCCCAACAAGGGGATTTCTACTCCCTCTCCAGCTAATGGAGAATCTTGCCACCCCGCTCCCTTCCCAGCCCCCTCCCCCTCTGTCCATCCACAGGCTGCCCAGACATTATCCCAATATCTGCACACAGTACCTTGGTAGGTCCCGAGAGTTCCAGGGGGGCATCCGGAGAGTCCTTAGCAGGGGCACAATAGGAGATAAGGGTGCCCAGATCGGCCCCCAATAGGACAGCTGTGGGAATTTCATCAGAGACTTCTACCTCCCTCATCCCCCTCCCTGCACCCCAGCCGAACACATATGCCCGGGGTATGCGGGAACGGGTTCCCCCCACTCCGGTGAGGGTCAGGAACTTCTCTGGGATTATGTCTGTGTCCTCTATCACCTCGGGTCGGACTAAGGTGACTTCAGCTCCAGTGTCACGGAAACCTGTTACGGTCCGATTGCCGACGATGACCGGCTGTAGGTTGGTGCTGGGTCCCCGAGGTTTCCCACTGACCAGCAGCACAGAGGAAGAGTTGCGGGCTGGCTGGCCCGATGATGTCTTCTTCTTCTGCTCAGGACACTGGGTCCTGAGGTGACCGGCTTTCCCACAGGTGAAACATCTGCGGGTGTCAGGCAGGAATGGCTTGGCTCCAAGCGCTGCAGGGTTGGGCGCAGGTGAGGCTTGTCTCACCGAAGTAGGAGAGGTTGCTAGGGACGATTTCCCCCCTTTCCAGCTGTTTGGAGGAGCCTTGCGAGGTTCAGGCACTCGCGTGTGGACGAAGGTATCTGCCAGGTCTGCTACAGCTTTAGTAGATGCTGGCTCCCTCTCCAGGACAAACTGTCTGACGTCTGCTGGGCAAATGTGCAAGAGTTGATCTCGGATCATGAGATCCTCCAAAGCTTCATAGGAATCAGCTTTCAGTCCCTTAGTCCACAGTCGGAATGTGGTGCGTAAGCGACTTGCCACATCCGTGTAAGAGTCCCCAGGTCGCCTTCTGCATGGACCTGAACCGCTTGCGGTACACTTCCGGGGTCATCTGGTACTTCCGGATAATGGCATCTTTTAAAAGTTTATAATCATCATCTTGCCCCTCTGGCAATTCAACAAATGCGTCCAGGGCCTTGCCTCGTAGCCCTGGTGTCAGGTACCGAACCCATTGAGCTTGGGGCACATGGTACTGACGGCATGTTTTTTTTTTTTAAGGACAGTAAGTAGGTGTCAATGTCACTGTCCTTTTCCATCACAGGAAACTTGGCTGCGCCCACGGAAAGAGTGGCGTCCCTGTGATCTAGGGACCCGAGGTTCTGACCCGGTCGCGGCTGGAGCCTTGCCATCTCCATCTCGTGCCGACGATCAGCTTCCCTCTGCACCGCCTCTCTCTCGGCCTGGCGTTCCTCTCTGTCAGCCGCTGCTTGGCGTTCAAGGAACTGCAAGTATGCCATAGGATCCATCTCCATAACACGTTTCAGGGCTTCCTGCAGAGAAGAGTCTCTACTGGTTACCGGCACCACGGTGCTAGCGCGCTCAGGCGGTGGTGTGATGCTAACATTTGGTGATCTTCCAGTGTCAGTCTCTGTATGCCCATCCTGTGAGGCCGTCTCTGAGCCACTGGCAATGTGGGTAACGGGAACCCCTCCATGTTCAAGTTCCCCCGAGTTCGGATTTGCTCGGATATACTCCACTAGATCACTAATCAAATCTTCACGAGTTTTGCGACCGACGTCCAATCCTCGTGAGGCACATTCAGCTTTCAAATCACCTTTGCTCATTTTCTCGTAATCTGCTTCACCAGGCATAATTGCAAGCAAAGATAGAAGAGAAAAGTAGGAAAAGGAAGGACTGTTGTCTCTATATATATATATACACACACACACATATAAACTAAAATATGCACCACTTGTTTCTAAGGACTGTTTACACAGAGGTTACAATCCTTCAGTGTAGAGCCAATTTTTAACACTGCACTGAAGCTCTTAATGCAATTATCCCAGGTACGTTGCCAACAATATGTCACGATCGCACAGTTGCCGCCACCAACATGCAACAATCGCACGACCGCGACTAACAGTAATACGTCACGCCCACGGCATCAGACCCCAGACCTTCTCACCAAACTTGTGACCGAAGGACCGGCCGATCTAAAACCCAGCTGCACCCTGCACAGCGATTGTCCAGCTAATGGGCTACAATCGGTACCTGCAGCCTGAATGCGCTTGTTACTGGGTCAAGTTAATTACGCCACTAACCCTTCACACTGCCACCACTGTCTTGAAATGTACAGAGAAGACGGACTCTGTCAGAAATACACTATAATGATTGAAAAGTCACCTGTCCAATATGGTCAATTGGGCAGGGAGTAAACAAACACAGTAGCGTCTCTTCAAAAGGCAGGAATTTGTGAATTGCCGGTAAGCGCTTAAAAACAGTTTAACACTTTCAGAAAGAAAGATTTATTACTAAAAGAGTCAAACAGGTGCAATAAAATATTTACAAGTAGATGTCACAAAAATATATATATGTATATAAAGACACAGCAAAGAGATAATTAGGAAGGAAATTACAGGGTTAAGTTACTTGCACTTAGCCTGGGTTTGCAGATCTCCCAGCTAACATCGAAGGAGGAGCTAAAGAATCATCCTGCTCTGCAACTTGGATCTGCAAACCCAGGCTAAGGGCAAGTAACTTAACCCTGTAATTTCCTTCCCAATTATCTCTTTGCTGTGTCATATATATATATATATATATATATATATATATATATATATATATATATATATATATATATATATATATATTTTTTTTTTTTTTTTTGTGACATCTCTTTGTAAATATTTTATTGCACCGGTTTGACTCTTTTAGTAATAAATCTTTCTTTCTGAAAGTGTTAAACTGTTTTTAAGCGCTTACCGGCAATTCACGAATTCCTGCCTTTTGAAGAGACACTACTGTGTTTGTTTACTCCCTGCCCAATTGACCATATTGGACAGGTGACTTTTCAATTATTATAGTGTATTCCTGACAGAGTCCGTCTTCTCTGTACATTTCAAGACGGTGGTGGCAGTGTGAAGGGTTAGTGGCGTAATTACCCTGACCCAGTAACAAGCGCATTCAGGCTGCAGGCACCGATTGTAGCCCATTAGCTGGACAATCGCTGTGCAGGGTGCAGCTGGGTGGGGCCTTGTTACGTGCGTCACACCGTGGTTTTAGATCGGCAGGTCCTTCGGTCACGAGTTTGGTGAGAAAATCTGGGGTCTGACGCCGTGGGTGTGATGTATTACTGTTAGTCGTGGTCGTGCGATTGTCGCATGTTGTTGGCGGCGACTGTGTGATCGTGACAGCCGGGTGCCCACACTAAGAGGACAACTCCGTGGAAGTGGGAGCGGGTACCTGTCAAATTCAGGTACCCGCTCCACCTCCCTTCCCAAAGGTCCGCAGTCTTGTGGTCAACCCCTGTACTGTGTCCGCAGTCTCTGGTCATCCCCTGTACTGTGTCCGCAGTCTCTGGTCATCCCCTGTACTGTGTCCACAGTCTCTGGTCATCCCCTGTACTGTGTCCGCAGTCTCTGGTCATCCCCTGTACTGTGTCCGCAGTCTCTGGTCATCCCCTGTACTGTGTCCGCAGTCTCTGGTCTTCTCCTGTACTGTGTCCGCAGTCTCTGGTCTTCTCCTGTACTGTGTCCGCAGTCTCTGGTCATTTCCTGTACTGTGTCCGCAGTCTCTGGTCATTTCCTGTACTGTGTCTGCAGTCCATCGGTTCAGAATATTTTTTTTCCTTGTTTTTCTCCTCTAAAACCTAGGCGCTTCTTATGGTCAGGTGCGTCTTATGGAGTGAAAAATACAGTATTTGTTTTCTGTTCTTCCTCGGGGAAGTATTTCAGATACAGAAGAGAATAAAGTGGCTGAATTTAAACTTCAGCAGTCCTCTAGTTGATTAAATTGAAAGCATAAAGTTTGGTGCCAAGGAATTCACCTGCACATCTTCCTGAGAAGAGAAGACTCCCTGAAAGACTTCTAGAGAGCAGATTTACTAAAACAGAGAAGGCTATTTTTAGCAGAATTGATCTCTAAATTAAAAATGTCGAGCTTACCTGTCACTGCTTGAAGTTGTTGACTGGTTTGCGTTGGATGACTGTCCTTGAGGTTTTGGACCAGATTTTTGCACTTTAAGAAAACATATTAAAAAAAAAGTCTCAATACACATAGTACTTTCCTTTATAGGAAACAAAATGTAATGGCAATATTGTGCTCCTACATGATCTTGAGGTTTTTTGTGCTTTCTTCAGAGGCTTTTCTGAGGAAGAAGATGATGAAGATTGTTGCTTATGATCAGTTTCTTCATCATGAGAGACAGATTTTGAATCAGATTCAGAATTATTCATATCCTGTTATACACGAAAGAGGAGTAAACAAAATAGTTGCATGCAAATATATATTTTATATATATTATATATATATATATATATATATATACACACACACACACACACACACACATACATATATACACACACATACATATACACACACACTTTCCAACCTTGTGTTTTTGCCTTGAGGTCGCTGTCCTCAACATTGTCACAGGTTTTCTTTTTTCTTCTATAGTAAAATCCTGAGTAGAGATTCAATGATTTTAGTGTTAAACAAAAGTAAAATAGAACAAGAAAAAAAAAAATGTATTGACTCCTAAAAAACTGTGAGGGACCAATAACACTTGAGCAAGCAATTTACTACAGTAGGTTACAAGTGTTAAGTTGTGTAAGAAACTACAAACGCAGTACAAAAAATATATCACCAATAAACATTTAATACATAATGTGTCAATGACTTTTGCATAGGGTGCTCCTTTAAAAATCTATATGAGCTAGTAATGAAGATGATGTGTCATCAAGAGTAGGAGGCGATCAACATTCAGATCAACAACAGAGAGGGTGGGTAAAAAGAGGCACACAGGGCAGAAATATGTGGAATAACCAGGGCAACTTTATTTTACCCTAGCCGACTCAGTTGCTGAGCAACGGAGATCAGCAGGGTTATATGGGAAGGGGAGGTAGAATCAGAAATCCGCACCTCAGAGAATCTTTTAACAGCTAAACTTGAGGAAAATGCTAAAGTTAAGTTAAGGATTTTTAAGCTCTCTTCTCTCTTTTTATTGCTTCAAGATGAAAATTGGCTTTGAAAAAAGAATACAAAGACAAAGATAAGCCAATATCCCTGATCGCTCAAAAAATATTAAAAGCCTAACAGTATAAGTCCTGGTTCACACCAATGCAGTTAACTTTTAATCCGTTATTGCAATGCTTTTTGCATTTTGCTTTCAGTTTTTACACATGCGTTTTTGAAGTGTTTAGAATAACAAAACGCAGTACAAATGCATTTAACCCTATTGTAGCAAAAATGTGTTTTTTTGTGTTTAAAAAAGTCATTGACCCTTTCCAAAAATGGAGTGGCTGAAAAATGCATAGATGTGACCAAGCCCCATATAAAACCATGTTAAATGGACTGTAGTGCATTTCTGCAAAAAGCAATAAAAAAATGCACTGGTGTGAACCAGTCCTTAGGTTCGCTTCAATGAAATTGGAAATAGAGCGGTGAAGGGCCCTTTCACAAATGTAAAACTTGACAGTGATTAACACCCCTTTATCCACAAGGAGATAGTATTCAGCTGGTAAATTACCTTGATCAACTTTGGAAGAGAAAAAGTAGAAAGGATTACAATTTGACACCTGGTGAGAACAGGGCCTTAGAAATGTTGAAAAATAAAGAACTTGTTGTGAAACCTGCTGACAAGGGTGGGAAAGGTGTTCTGCCAGATAACAGCCATTATTTTAGAATGAGTTTATCAATTTTCAGCAATGAAAACAACTATCTGACATTTAGCTGGAGATCTAACTATGCAATATTTACAGGAATTAAAAAATCAAACATACTCAAAAAGCCAAATGATCAAAAATAAATTTCTAAAAATGAATATAACTACAGGTGTACCTCAGGTTATGATCGTCTCCGTTAATGTAATTTACGAATGTAAATCCATTGAAAACAATGTCTCGGTTATTTTTTTTGTCTTCACTATAGCTCACAGAATTAGCTGTCACTTTCCCAGATGCTAAAGGTTACTTTTTCTTTTAACTCGGGAAACAGCATTTAAAAGCATTTAAACATTTAAAACATTTAAATGACAGCATTTAAAAGCCGGCACTGACCTATAGTGACAGCGATTTTTTTTTTTTTTTTTCCTTTCTGACCTCCGGCATGGATTAATTGATTTTCAATGCATTCCTATGGGAAACCGCTTTTCAGTTTACAAATTTTTTTGCAATACAAAATGCCCCGGAGAACGCAATAAATTCGTAAACCGAGGTACACCTGTATATCCTTAATATTGAGTCAACAATTGCAACTTTCTACAGCCTGCCAAAGGTCCAGAGAAATCAACAGGATCCCCCAGGTTGGCCACTTGTTTTGTTCAATAATAACCTAACAGAAAGCAAGTAAATACGTAGACAGAATACTTCATCCACATTTATCTAAGGCAGAAATACATACAGTGGGGGAGATGAAGTTTGATGTGTTTCACATGTTCAGTGCTTATTCATTACCTGTCAGATCCAATCACAGAGCACACTAATATTACACTTACACAGCTGTCAACGATCAACTCAGAATCGGCTTGCTCTCTAAGGCATATGAGGCAGCACACAGAAAGCCCGTCTCTGATGTCTTTCCACACAAAACTAACATATAAAACACTCTATTAGCTCCAGATTCAGACGCACGACATCTTGTGTGGAGCGGCAGAACAAACACAAATCTCGAAATCTACCAATGTGAATCAAATAACATTGCTAAAATACTAATAGATACAAAAAGTTATTGTAAATGTAGTGTTTTTGCAGATCCATATACTGTATCTTAATCAGCTGCACCATACAAATCACCCTCGTATAAAGTAGGCAAGAATAAAGGGTACTACCAAAATAATAAACATAATACTACAAAGCATACAATTTCAAAATAAACCAGCAGATGATATAATTAACCAAAAAAGAAAAGAGAAAGACATGCAAGGGGCACCAGGCCACTGTGCATACAAATATATGTGGTCCCATTGAAAATCACCGGGCGCCGGCGGGGAATCACCGGATGGGACACGTTGACTGACAGCCGCAGCCGTGAATGGCAGCGTGGGTAGGGCATACAGAATCTCATATATATATATATATATATATATATATATATATATATATATACACATATACATATACATACATACATATACATATATATATATATATATATACATATATATATATATACATACATATATATATATATACACATACACACGTGCTTTTGCGCACCCCTGCCGCACTGTATATCTGATATAGGGAGGTCGGGATGTGGTTAAAGTACAAAAGTCAACTGACAGAATGACTTCAGAACAACCAGATGGCTGGCTTTGGAAGCGCCCCTTCATTTTATCTTTCATTCTTCAATTCAAGAGAAGCTCTTGCGACCATGATGTAAGGAGGATGGGTGACCATAATTGAAAAGGGGCTCTCTGGGGGCATGATGTAACTAGGGAAACTCTGGGGACTCTTCTTTAAGTGAGTGACTCTAGGGACCCTAATGTAAAAGGGGTGGGGGGCTCTGGGGACCCTGATGTTAGGACCCCGAGATTAGGAGAGTACTCTGGGGACCTTGATGCAAAGGGAGCTGACTCTGGTGACCCTGATGTAAAGGGGGGGGGCAGTGGGCTCTGGGGACCCTGCTGTTAGGGGGGTGACTGAGGATGCTGATGTAAGGAGGATTTCTTTGAGGACCCTGATGTTAGGGGGGTGATTCCTGGGACCCTGATGTAAGAGGAAAGGGGAATCTGAGGGGGAATTCTTGATGTAGGGGGGGGGTAAGCTGATGTGAACAGGTGGGTTTGACCTGATGCTGCACTTTATATGTTGTTTTGTATTTTTGCTCCCGACTTCTGCATTCTACAGTATACATTGTGTTGTACATTACACAGTTCTGACTAAAGTGTTCATTGTCTCAACAGTTGCTGGTTTTATTGAACTTATCAGCTGGAATACATAGTTCTCATTCCCCGAAGTCAAAGTGCTGTAAATTTTGGGATCTCGCTCAGGGAGGACATCGGCACATTAAGCATTATAATAACAAGCAACTAGGCTTGATTCAGTTGTCTATGAGGTGGCCCTCATGGGTAAACAGAATCAAAAGCCTGCAGCTGAGGAGAAGGCTCCCATGTACTCATGAGCCAGACAATCTCTAATAGGAACTGTCTAGGAGGAGGGCAAGTACCCAAAACTGTAAGGCAGTCGATTAAATAAACTCAATCCAATGTGCAAACATGTATTAAGATACTTACAGTATTTGGTAGAAGCGACCTATATAGAGAGATTCTTCTTCTCTAAGCCAATCATGCTAACCAGTTCTGAAAATAGAAAGCATGACTGAGCTCGGCAGTAGCAATGCTGCAAATTTAACAGCTCCTGTTTCCAGGGCAGGATGTAAGGGGTTGCCGGTTTCCTCAGATTGTAGCAGCACAAACGCTTTATACCAATCTGGTACCTACATAACCAGAATCTGAAGTGTAGCGCAAAAGGCAGGTAGATCTTCCAGCATTCTCAGCTGGGAATTACGACCCTGTACTGAAGGCAAAAGGCAGAAAGGGAAGTACAAATCAGTATACTATCCGGCCAACCTGGAGGACATCCAGGAAAGGATGGAGGGCTCTACATTTCAGGAGAGTAATCTGCTATAGACTCTGGAAGATCTTCACTTCAGAGTCATTGAAGGTGAGCAGTTCTTGATCCCTCATTAACCACCTCCTGCCCACCATATAGTAATATGACGGACGCAAGGTGGTTCTCTCGTTCTGGGAGGATGTCATATGATGTCCTCCCATTCTAACTGCGCATGCGCGGCTCCCGGAGCAACACGGTGGATCACCGATCAACTGAAAGAGCCGAAGATGTCGGCTCGGTCATGTGATCAGCTGTGTCCAATCACAGCTGATCACATGTAAACAGGGAAATGCCCGTTATCGGCATTTCTCTCCTCAGGAGAGGAGAGCCAATAATCGGCATTCCGCGGAGGGGACATGTACACTGATCATCAGAGCACTGATGATCAGTGTGCCCTGATGATCAGTGTAGTCCCAGGAGTGCCACCTGTCAGTGTCCAACAGTGCCAGCTGTCAGTGCCCATCAGTGCCACGTGCCAGTGCCCATCAGTGCAACATCAATGCCACATATCAGTGCCTACCAGTGCACATCAATGTCACATATCAGTGCCCATATGAGCCGCCTTTCAGTGTCACCCATCAGTGCCGCCTATATGATTGCTGCCTTTCAGTGCCCATCAGTGATGCCTGTCAATGCCCATCAGTGCCACCTACCAGTGCTTCCTCATCAGTGCCACCTATCAGCGTCCATCAGTGCAGCCTCATTAGCGCACATCAGTGAAGGAGAAAATTCACTTATTTACAAAATTTTATAACAAAAACTAAGAAAAAACTTTTTTTTTTGGTTTAAGAAAAAATAAAAAACCCAGAATTGATTAAATACCACCAAAACAAAGCTCTGTCAAAAAAAAAATTATAAAAATTTCATATGGGTACAGTGTTGCATGACCGCGCAATTGTCATTCACATTGCAACAGCGCTGAAAGCTGGAAATTGGCCTGGGCAGGAAGGGGTTATAAGTGCCCTGTAGGCTTGTGGTTAATATTTCTTCTTTGGTAGTGGGAAGTGGTAGCTCACAAACCAGTAGATAATGTCCTAGGGTGGATTTGTGTCCCTACCTTGCAGTTGGAGGGCTCTGTGGGCCTGCTCCAGATATGTGGGGGGACTCCCTTGGTCTCTCTCTAATAGATTGTTAAACATTGACTGTAGAGCTGCTGGTATCTGATCGGGTATGCCTTTGATGCTTAGGTTATTCCGGCAGCCCCCGTTGTCTAAATCTTCAAGCAATCACTGGATTTCAATCGTCAGGAGGTTAGCACTTTGTTAAGTCTCTGCAGCTCTTGTATGTGAGAGTCTCAGTGTGTTCCATCTTCCTCTACTATCTCAAGATGGGCTGCAACCAAACTGATGTCATCCTTGAGGTCAGAAATTGCTGCAGAGAACACATCATTTATATCCGCCAACTTGACATCGTGAGCATGTTCTGCATAAGGCCCAGCATCTGTTCACCTGCTCTGTCCATTTCAACAGCCGAAGAATCTATAGAGAAGGTGCCATGTGCTGACTGCTATGTACTGGACTTCATAATACTGCCCATGTGGTCTGAGGGTTGGGTACAGAAGATTTTAGGGAGTTGTTGTCCCAGTTGGGAATTTGGGGGGGGGGGGGGGCGCGTTGAGTCCTTCCTTGGAACATGGAGCTGCTGAAATTCCCCATGGATGCTTTGTAAGGGTTAGTTATAGCTTACAGAGTCCTCTGTGGTCTGAGAGCTGATCTAACATGTAGCCTTTGGCTAGATAGAGAACTGTGGAGAGGTCCGATGCATGTACGTTGATTTACTGCTTACTGGCCACCGCTAAGGCGAACAAGGTTCGATGATGAATTGGATGCTGCTGACTAGTGAGGGTGCCGGCTGGGGAAAGGTACATCAAGACCCAAAGCATGCTGTAGAAATAGGAAGAGTTACCCAGATCGCCACACAAGTCGCCCGGCCCAAGTTGTTGTTGGGAGTGATGCCTATTTCATGTATAAAATGCATCTAAACCCAAACCCAAAAAGATTATACTACAGCTTACATGTCCTTAGATGTGGTGGTTGCATTAGTTTTCTGGGGGGTTTTTTTCCGCATTTAATTTCACCTTGAGATCATTTCACTTACACACTTCTTGTCCAAGTGTGACTGTGCTCATATACCGTACTGACCTATGGAGCAGTGGGGTCACCCTAAACAATTCCCCTGATTTGGACTACAACTCCTCCTCTCCAATACATTGAAAGGAGGTGCGCTGTAGTTTACAGAAGATAGTTCAGCACTGTGGCTAAGTGGCTAGCAGCACTAGGGTCGATGCTTCCAATCCCGACCATGGTACTACCTGCCTGGAGTGTGCATGTTCTCCCTGTGCCTGCATGGGTTTCCTCCCGGAACTCCAGTGTCCTCCCACACTCCAAAGACATGCTGGCTCCTGTCTAAATTGGCTCTATCATGTGTATGTATGAATGGGAGTTAGAAACATTAAATTGTAAGCTCCTTGAGGGCAGAGACTGATGTGAATGTACAATATATATGTAAAGCACTGCATAAATTGATGGCGCTATATAAGTACCTATAAAATAGCTGGGAAAGTAAACACAGATACCAGTTTGCCACACAGAAAGTTATAAGGATACCAGAATTCTAAAAGAAACAAAAAAATTTGCTGTACTTGCAGAAAAAAAAAAAAAAAAAAAAAAAAAAAAAGACTAGGGCTGTCAGCACATCTAATGACTGGTAGGATGTAGCACACTAAATATTTGTTCTTGGGTTTGAATATACTTTAAGTTGCATAGCTAGTAGTAGTTAGTCATATAACACTGGACTTGTTTAAGATTGTTGAAAACGTTTTGCTAATCCAAGCCAATTCGTTAATTCAACAGGTTTGAATTTCTAACCATTATTTTGGATTAAATCATTGTACTGTTAACTTGATTTGTTTATTATTTATCATCACCTATTATATTTCATTACCATTTTGCACTGAATTTTATTAATATATATTTTTGCACATAATTGTTTTTTTTTTAATCTTCAATTTAGCGCAAATAAAAAACTCAGCTTATCAGTTTAAAATTAAAATTAGTAGGGAATCTCCTTAATTCCAAAATCACACCTGCTATCATAAATTGTATACTAATTATTTTCTCAGGGCTAAAGTTCTGACAACTTTCTCTCAATCCTGCTCTGAATCATTTAGATGTTCATTGGCTAACTTCAGAAGGGCTTGTGCATGTGCCATCTTGAGGAGGGGGACCTTGTGGGTGCTGCAGGATTCCAATCCATGGCGGCGTATTGTGTTACCAATGGCTTGTTTGGTGACTGTGCTCCCAACTGTCCTGAGATCATTCACAAGCTCCTCCCATGTAGTTCTGGGCTGATCCCTCATTTTTCTCATGATCATCCTTACCCCATGAGGCAAAATCTTGCATGGAGCACCAGTCCGAGGACAATTAATGGTTATTTTGTATTTCTTCCATTTGCAAATAATCACTCCAACAGTTGTCTGTTTTTCACAAAGCTTTCTGCAGATGGTCTTGTAGCCCATTCCAGCCTTTTTCAGGTCTACAATCTTGTCCGGGACGTCCTTTGAAAGCGCTTTGGTCTTGCCCATGATGGTGAGGTTTGAATGGAAGAGAGATTCTGCGGACAGGTGTCTTTTATACACACAACGAGTTGTCGTTAGGAGCAACTTCTTAAATTACCAGGACTAATCTGTGTCCCACATGAGCACATAGTCTATGGGAGCTAGAATTATTGTTGGCTGATAGGAAGATTAAATACTTACTCATTGAACTGCAACTCAATTGATAACATTTGTATTGTGTTTTTTCTGGATGTTTGATATTCTGTCTCTATTATTTAAAATACACCTATGGGGGGGGGGGGGGGCATGGCTAGCTTAAGTGAACAGCTCCAGCTCCATAGGGGACACAGTGGCAAAAACAGCTCACCAACACCCTAAAAAAAATCACCTTGCACTGGCGATTCAGCTCTCTGGACCATATAGACCATGTCCAGGATGAAGATGATGATCGGAAACCTCACAAACTGACTGCCTTCTTCACTCAGCAGCAGCATGGGAGCAGGCAAGATGGCCCGGCGCCTCTCCCTCCACAATCTCCCGCTCTTCTCCGGCAGCATCACAGACGGGCTCCTCCAAACTCAGAGGGGAATCGCTGAAGGATCCACACTCTCTCTCTTCCACACCACTGTCTGGCAGCCCAGAAAAAGCGAGAGTCAGAATAGATGAAGCAAGACACGGCAATCAGGTGAGCCCTGACAATACTATTAATAATTCTAGAGATGACACAAGGGAACTGCCGGATTCTCCACTAGCAACCAGCCAGTTCTGGATACAGTACTTAAAGACATGCCACTGTCCCTTAGTAGCTCTCTACACACAGATATGATGTCCTGTATGCATTAGTGTTCTAAGGAGATACAGGAAGTAGAATATAGAGTCTAACATATAGAAACCAAAATGGGAGAGTTTGCAGGCACCATTAATGATCTGGTAGATGCTAACAAAACCAACGATGACGAAATGGAGTGGGTTAAAGCAAAATTAGCCAACATGGAAGATAGATCTAGGAGGAATAGTTTAAAAATAAGAGGCATTCCTGAAACGAACACAAACAGACCTCCGCAAATTAACTACATCCATGTTTAAAGCACTTACCGTATTCCTGAATTAAGCGAGAAGATGTCATGATTGATAGAATTCACCGACTACCCAAACCCAACCATCTCCCTGACCATGTACCAAGGGATGTCATCCTGAGGCTACACTTTTCATATTAAAGAACACCTAATGATAGCAATGCTTAATAAGGCACAGATCCCCACAGAATACACCGACCTACAACTATATGCAGATCTCTCCCAATACACACTTCAAAAATGGAGAAACCTCACTCCAGAACCATAGAATTAACTAAAGATGGGGTTACCCTACTAAATTTACAATCAGCAAAGATGATGTGATAGACTCTCTGGAAAAGGGCCTGTCCCTTCTGAAAACCTGGAACAAACTTCCGCTCCATCAGATCCGATCCAGAGTGGAGAGTGGTCACAGCCAAAAACTCTCGCAAGCACAATTAATTATGGTGCAGTTACTTTTCTTTCTTGAATTGAATATTCTAGTCCAAAAACCATTGGACCTTTCAGCAGGTCAACCAGATGTGGAACATGTTACCCTCCTGCCCACACCCCCTGAAATATAGTGGCGAGGCATTGGGGTAGATCTTAGCTAACCATTTCAGAACGAGATATCAATGGGACAGCATTTTGTAGTTTGCCTCCACCAGGGAAGTCTTTAGAATTTCTCTGTGCACCATAGGTTACCATTGGGACCAAAATGTCCTCCTCTATGGTTTCCCCAAGATCTGACTCCCAAGCCAATTAGTAAGAAAGTCTGGGGCATTGGTCCTCAAACAGAGTATAATTTAAAAATGCTGCCACGCATAACTGGATTATGCAAACACCTGTTCTCATAAAGGGTCTTAGTAGTAATATCCACCTGATCCATTGTCTGTTTATAATGAGTAATTTGACAAATGTGGAAAGCCCTTTCATTTCTATTTTAAACTGAATGGGTTGTTTTACAAGGTGAGAGTTTACATATATATTAACATCTACTTGAGAGATATGA